ATTTGCATATTAGGCTTTTATTATATAGGAGATTAGTGAATGTATCAAGCACAGAGACGCAGCCCTCAGAACCTGCTTCAAGAATTGGACTTGCTTTCTAGCTGCAAAAGGTGGTTATCTGGCACCTCCAGCTGTTACTTCCTACAGGGTGGGCCTTGGCTCTCCAGCCTGGGCCTCAGTCTTCTCAGGGCAGCCAATGACCGAGCAAGAAGAGAGAGCATCTAACAGGGAGAGAAAGAGCGAGATGGCCCTCTAGTGACATGGAAGGAAGAGACAGACGGAGGCAAGCCCACAGGAATGCCAACTTTTTAAACTGCAACACCTTCATGCCCTACACCTACCACTACAGTGGCTTCTTTTGAGGGTGGCATTCTTTGTCCCCAAGTTAAAAAAGAAAAAGAAACAAAATACAAAGAGGCTGGGAGGATTTCTTATTTTAAATGATCAAGAGAATGAAAAGACAAGCCAGAATGGGAGAAAGAAAATGTGCAAAACACATATCTGATAAAGGACTTATATTTAGAACCTATATTAACTCTTAAAACTCAACAAGAAAACCCAATTTTTTCAATATGGGGAACAAATCTGAACAGACACTTCCCCCAAAAAGGTATGTGGATGGCAAATGAGCAGACAAAAAGATGGTCAACATCATTTCTCAGTACAGAAACGAATAAACCGGCCACATGATGTCACTGCAACAGGAGCTCATTCCCTGCTGGTGGTCATGCAAAATGGCAGTCATTTTGGAAGACAGTTTGGCAGTTTTTTATAAAATACTAGAGGACCAGCACACAAAATTTGTGCGCGGGTACGGTCCCTGGATCAGGGCCATCTTCCCCGTTCTCGCCCACTTTCCAGCCCCGCCCCCGCTGCGGGTTGCCTGTGTGTGGGGGGAGACCTGCGGGGCAGGAGCCTTGGCCTGGCACTGCTGGCGTTCCCCACCACCGACCCCCGGTTCCCCGTTTGCCATCAGGTGACCGGAACCTGCCTGCCGGCGGAGGGGGGTGGAGGGAGGGACCGAGAGGTGGTCAGTGTGCCTCATAGTGACTGGTTGAGCGGTCATTCTGGTCGTTCCATTGTTAGGGCCAATTTGCATATTACCCTTTTATTATATAGGATGCCCTTACCAAGACCCACTAAGCCCACTCCTAGGTATTTACCCAAGCAAAACAAATTATGTTTCTACTAGAGGCCTGAGGCATGAAATTCATGCAAGGGGCTCGGCCTCTGCCGCCTCTGCCTCAGCCCCTGCTGCCGCGGCTTTGTCCAGAAAGACGTCCAGTCTAATTAGCATATTAAGCTTTTATTATTATAGATTAAAAGCTTATATGTGAATGTTAAATGATAACCAAATCTTAACACATCATATAATGAAGTACTCAGCAATGGAAAGGAATGAGCTAGTGATTCACACATGAACTTAAAATGAATTTTGGTAGGCAAAAGAGGCCAGATTCAAAAGGCTATAAATTCTTCAATTCTACCATTTATGACATTCTGAAGAAAAGCAAAATTATAGGAACCAAAACAGATAGTGGTTGCCAGGGGTGGGGAGCTGGGCATAGGGGAGTTTTTAGGGTGATGGAGCTGTTCTGAATAGCACTGAGACCGTGGACACAGGACTATGCGTGTGTCAAAGCCCAAACGGAATGAATTTTACTGTGAAAAAATCAATTGGCATGTCAGGTTCCAGGTGGAATGCAGTGTGACAAATGTTTTACAAATGTATGCCATACCCTCAATGAAAGGAGTGGGAATAAAAGAAGTGAAACTAAGTTACTTGGGAAATGGTACTTTGAGTAGATACTGTAGGGCTAAAGACAAAGCACCTAAACACTATACTCTAGTCCAGCCGTGGGCAAACTACGGCCCGTGGGCCGGATCCGGCCCGTTTGAAATGAATAAAACTAAAAAAAAAAAAAGACCGTACCCTTTTATGTAATGATGTTTACTTTGAATTTATATTAGTTCACACAAAGACTCCATCCATGCTTTTGTTCCGGCCCTCCGGTCCAGTTTAAGAACCCATTGTGGCCCTCGAGTCAAAAAGTTTGCCCACCCCTGCTCTAGTTGGTCAATTTGTTTCTCACAGGGTACAACTTAACTATTCTGAAACGACTTTATAAGTATTCTAGGGCTGAACAAATAAATAAATTGCAGATAACAGGAGCCAGGTTACTCCCTCTCAGAGGAAGGAAGATTACAAATAAGCAAAGGGCAAAACGGGAATGAACCTGTGCTGCTGATGGGAGTCAGTTTAAGTTAATGTTTATGTAATATACACAGAGATGATCAAGAAATAATACAGAGATGTGCACCTATATTGGTTAGTATACATATTTATATCTCTTAGCTTGTTCCACTGAAGAGGCATACAACTAGTAGCAACAAGCACACCCATCACCCAGATCCTGGTTTCTAAATACCGTCGCCAGTAAAAGGAATCAGGGATCCTTGAAGGAATAGCTCATTCCTGGGCAGGCGTCCAGGTAATAACTTGTAGTGCCACAAAGTAAGAATATGGCCTTAAAAAAAATAATAAGGGCACGTCAAAAGAATTTAGGAGCAGATCACAAATGTTCCCAATACCCAAAGCTGAAACAATTTGCACAAAATAACAGTATTGGATTTCAAACTAAAGTATAAAATAAGTAGCCAGGATCACATACTAATGTAAATATTATATACTGCCCCCTCCCCTTGAATGTGGGCTCAAGTTAATGATTCACTTCCAAAGAAAGTAAGGAAAGTGGAAAAACCTAGCAGATACCACCTTAAACCAAAGAAGGAACATCACCAGTGCTGCCCACTGACACCACATACCCATGATACGATACAGTGTGGAAGGGCACATCACCTCTGTGCTGTCCCTCCCGATACAGCATCACCTCAAATATCAGAACACCCTTCAAACCACCAAGCAGTACCCTTCAGTGTCAAGGTCATGAAAGACTGAGAAACTGTCACAGGTAGGAGGAGTCTAAAGAACCATTAATGACTAAATAAATGCAATGTGGTATCCTGGGTTGGATCCTGGAACTGAAGAACATTAGTGGAAAAAGAGGTGAAAACCAAATCAAGTCTGCTGTTTAGTAAATAGCGTATCAATGCGAATATCTGAGTTTTAACAGATGTGCTATAGTTTACATAAGATGTTAACATTAGGGGAAGCTCAGGGAAGGGGATAGAGAGTAAATGTGAAATTCTTATAAAACGGTTGTTTAAAAAAATGTATAGGAAAGCCACAGCAGCATGGTCGTACTTAAAATTAAGAAAGGGACTTACAGAAGATTATACACATTTTCTCAGTAATTGATCACCACCAGTTTATTTGTAAACATAGTATATGTGTCAATAATCAAATTGACAACACTTTATACATTTCATATTTAATATCATACCAGAAAACAATCTACTGTACTTAGTTACAATTTTGGTACTTTAAAAATCTTTAAATACAAACTGTATTTGAAACACTGAACATAAGAGAAAGATAACAGAAAACTAAATACATCAAATAAAAGAAACCAATATTTAAAAAAAAAACACCACAAAATCATCTGATTACATACTTAAAAGGGAGGAAATCAGATGATCATCTTTTTTTAATAACAAAGTTTCGGCTCTTTAGACCCACTTGAGAGGTGAAATTGTGTCACACAAAATTCCATGTCCTTCCTGATATCTTTTTTCTCTTAGTTTCCAAGGAATGTTTGCCATGGTTTAAAAGCTACATTACAGGGGGAAAGAAATGGGAGGAAGCAAAAGCCAATGAAATTACTTTAAACATCTGCAAAAAAATTATTTCACAAATCATCTTTGGCAAATAATAAAGTCTGTATTTTACATTTACCCTTTTGTTGAAATGGATCAATACTTATAAGATTTAAGAGATGCATCTTTACATGAGTTAAAATATAAATGAGACAAAGCCAAATTCATAAAGCAAAGCACAAAGCAGCCTGCACATTTTGCTAACAGTTCTAAAATGCAGACCGCCTGCCTGGCTGCCCAGGCTAGTGGTGCTTAGTGGTTAGTGCACCAGGCTGTGCACCAAAGGGTCGCTGGTTCGATTCGAGGTCAAGGGCACATACCTGGATTGCAGGTTCAATCTCTAGCCCTGGCCAGGATGCGTGCGGAAGGCAACCTATAGATGTGTCTGTCTTACATAGATGTTTCTCTCTCTCTCCTTCCCTCATGCCCTTCCACTCTCTCTAAAAATCAATGGAAAAAATATCATTGGGTGAGGATTAATGAAAAAATAAAATAAAATAAAAATAAAAAAGCAGACTGCCCTCCTTAAAAATGAGGTCTTCAGCTGGGAACCAGAATCTTTCCTTATTCACAGGAGAAACCAGAGCGCGCCACATGCTTTTTCAGTACTTCCCCTAAAATTCATGATCATGATTAGGTTCTATTTCTTCTTCCATTATTTCTCAAAGGAAATGCAGCAGCAAATCACTCCCACATTTTAAGTTTTAAATTCACCAACAACTGGGTTCACTGCCAACAAGTACAAATATCTGATTCTTTATTAGTGTACATGTCACTACAATAGACTTAGACTGGTAATACAGGAATAAATAAAATAACTACAGTTAATTCAAACAAAGCAAATGAGATTAGAGAGCCCTGATCAAATGAAATATTTTCAACTTTTGGTTGAAAAACTGTAAGTTACATACATACCTAATAGCACTAGGAATGTCCAATATCAATTATTGGGGGGAATGAATGATTCACAGTCATAAGAAATAATTTTAATAGTATGTATTTTTCCTTTTATAGACAAACATTTATAAGATACACTGATTTCTACCTCATATAAGAGAGAAAGTAGAAAACTAAAAGTTAACTGCATTTACCTAAACACGGCACTGACTTGCCACAGGTAACCTGCTCCAAAAGATTCAGTTCTGTGGGTAGGCCATGGGGCTGAATGCATGGTTATGTTAACAGTTTTAAAAAGGCATATATTTCCAGAAGTATGTTAAAATCCACAAATATCAGTTCTACAAATAACAAAAATTATCAGCAAGAAAGTTTAGGTTTTAGCATTCCCAAATTTTCTAATGCCTTAAGTGTTTTAGATATATGTTCTTTGATCAGTTCATTTGGTTACAGTTTTAAACTGGCAAACCGTTATCCTAGGAGAAGAGCTAAACTAAACTATAACACTGCACAAACTTCCCAAGGTAACCTGAAAAATCTAAAAAGTGATTCCAATTATTCTAATATTTGAGACACTAAAAGAATCAATGACTTAAGAAACATTTTGAAATACTCAATTTTCCTTTATCATTTCCTCCCCGAACTATTCACATAAATTTAAGATCCAAACTATCTAAGAATGTCTTCAAAGTAGGCTTTTCACTAACGTATTTTGATCAGAAGACACAGCTTTAATGCTTCTCTTATATAATTCTAACCTAAAATCATAACCCTTGGTTTGAGAACATAAAATTCAATTTCATAACAATTAATTGGTAAAACTACAAACAAAAAATAAGTCACAGTGAAAATGTGCAGCAGCCACAGCTACAAGAACGGAAAATAAATTCTATTTTTCCAGAAAGACTCTATGAAAATATAAAGTCCAAAGTGAGTGACAACAGAAATCCACATATAAATGTTGTTTAAAAATAGAATGCTTTCCAAAGCTTCTCATGAGATGTCAATGTAGAGTCAGAGTCGGAGTTAAGACCTTATAAATCAAGGGTAAGTTACACAGAACTATGCTGATTGACATACCTTCAACAATGTCCAACTGATCTACATAATTTACAGACAGCCACAGGAGTTCTTAATGCCCCGTCACATCAGTTCTCAGTCCTGGGTGTGTATGTTTCATAGTTTTGCTACTTGAAGTACCAAGAAACCTTCGCAGAGGAAGAGTTCCCCTCTTCCCATGATCCCCTACAGAGTAGGTAACAAAATATAAAACTAAACAAGATTTACGTTTGATAACCTAACATATAAAATTACCACTGCAATATTCATAGTGACCGCTTATAAACATAACAGTCATCATAAAGCCTATAAAGTATATCCTGTTTTATAAAAGAAATGCAGATTGTCTCAAGGTAAAAAATACAGTGCAGGCTGCTAAAAAGCTCTTGGTTGCATTAGGAGGTGCAACGATGAGGAAAACTTCAGAAACCGTGAACATGTCCCCCAAACTTCAAACATCATGAATCGCACGGCAGCGGCAGGATGCTTCTTTAGTGGCTGGCACTATAAAGCTAACCTTAAGAAAGAAAAAAGGCAGAAAGTGTGAGCAACAAATGGTGTAACCAAATCATTGCAAATGGAGACTAGCAACACGCAGTGAGGAAGGTGACCGTCCACTCCATTCTGATAAGATGCCATCTTTAAATATTAAGTTCTTTGCGGGCAGTGGGACTCCCAGATCTGCTTGGGATGACTGGGAGAGCAAACTTGAAAAGCTGGCCTCTGTGTGAATATCCAGTGTTGAAGCACCTTCCTAAAAGATCAAGAAACAAGAGAAAAATTCTGTATTCTACATGTTACCAAACCACTTAGTATAGCTAATGAGGAAAACAGACCTTGATTACCAGAGAAATGTTTATGGAATGCAAAGTACTAATGGAGATGCAAAGACCTACCTCACAAACCCAAAATAATCAATGAGAGGTATTAATGTATGCAGAAATGACTACCACAAGTTAGACTATGCTAAGTGCTTTGAAATGAATAGAAATACTAGGCTACGAGACTATGGTATAAGAACAGGTTAGTTCTCAGACAATCTCTAAAAACCCTCACGCAGCATTTAGCACCAGAACAGCCCGTCCACTCCCAGGGCTCTCACAGGCACATATTCAGCACAGACCTTCCCCGAGAACTCCGGGCTCAAGCATGCCCCTGACATCCGCGCTCAGATGCTGCACCACACGTGCCACACTGACCGTGCCCCCTACTCCCCACATCAAGCTACTCAGAAATACAAGAATCTCTCGGATTCCTCCCTTCCGATCACACCCTCAATATTTCCTCACATTTAACTAATCACCAGGTTCTGTCACTCAACCTCCAACATGGATCCCAAAATAATTTACCTAACTCACCACAGCCACTGCCAGTTTAGGCCAGTGGCCTCCAAAGTGGGGTACTCACTCCAAAGTGGGGTATGGTACTACAAAAATTTTTAAATCTTGTATCTACTTATTGCATCCTTTAAGAATTTCTATTTTTGTGTATGTTTTATAATATATATAATTTATTGGTGTAACAGTATATATGTGTAATAAACAAACCTGTATTGTGGATACCTACAAAATTGTGTTTTTGTGGGGTTTTTTTAATGAGAAAGGCTGCTACTGAAATCTCTCACTTGGGCTATGACAGTAGTCTCCAAACTAATCTTACTTCTATGCTTGCCCATTTTTAATCTATTCTCTAAACAGTAACTAATCTTTAAAGAAATAATGTCATTCTTTGTTTAAGTCTTGAATGCACTCAGCATAAACCACAAATGCTTTAATACATTCTAGAAGGCCCTCCCCACCCCTCTTGCCACTGCCCCTCTTTCACAAGGCTTCTGCAACACTGGCCTTCTGTTTTCTTGACACAGGACCTTTGTGCCTGCTAAGCTCTGCCTGGAATACTCTTTTCCATCCTTTAGGTTTCAGATTATATAGCATCTCTACCTATTTAAAGTAGGTCTAGCTTTGGAATCCATCAGATTTGAAGGAGCCTGACTCCTTCAAAGTACCTACTGAAATCAACGTTTACTTGACTAGTGTCTCGTACAACCCTCTAGGCTCCTCTAGTGTCTTAGAGATCATTGTTTCCCCAGCACTTGGTAAAGGGTCTGGCATGAAGTAAACGCAAGTATTTATTGAAAGAATGAATGAAACAAATCTCTAAAATATTAATTTCAAATTATTAGATCAGATATTCTGAACAGAAATATTTCATTCTAGTTTATCTACAAATTAAATCTAGGGTATTCTTTCCTCTGTGTGTGTGTTGGGGGGGGGGGGGGGGGGGGGGTAGAGCACTGGCTTTCACTACCACACAGACAATGGAGCTCCCTGCAGTTATTAATGGAGTACCAGACTCAAGAGCCAGCACCTTGTATGATGCATGGCCTGTAACAGATGCTGAACACACTCCTGAATGAAGCACTGGCACAGAACAGAGTCCAAGCTTTAGAGCCAGAAGACCTGGCTCATGAGCTCGGTGCAAGTCAGTTTACTTCCTGAATCTTGGTGTCTTCGGGTATAAATTTAAATTAATGCTTATTTCATGTCTACTGCAGTGGAGATTCAAAGCAAACATGGAAGTGTTTTGTATTTAAAGCTCTACACCAATAACATTTGGATCTTCTGGTTTATTACCTGGAATGAGTGAACAAAGTTAAGGACTCGTAGAGAAAGTTTTCTACTGGAATGTAAGAGGTTTTGAAGGCTGAAAGAAAGGGGGGAAAGTTTAGTACAAATATAATGACAAGAGTTTAATTTTACTAATTTCAACAGTTTAACTTTACTAATTTCAAAACATTTATATCAGCATATAAATCCTGATTAACCACATTAAAATTTTTTAAAAACCAATTTCAATGGTTCTCATCAATGAAATTGTTGCCTCTTTTAATAATAGGGAGTAACAGTACATAAGAAGACCATTTTGACATAAAACATCATAAATTACCAAAATTAAAATTCATTGTTATAAGGTTTAGCAAATATAAATGTTTACTAAATAAACCTTTTTAAATAAAAATTTATGCACTTGGAGGGATGAAGTCTGTCATATTTAGCATACATCAACCCACCAAATTAAGTATTTTTCAAATATATAAATAGGTAACAATTATAGTGACAATCTTTAAAGCTATAGCATTTCTATTTTATTCATGTCTTATTTTATTTTCAGAGGACAGTTATTAAAAATTACATGTCGCCCTAGCCAGTTTGTCTCAGTGGATAGAGCATCAGCCCTGGACCGAAGAGTTCCAGGTTCGAATCTGGTCAAGGGCACATACCTCCCCTGGTCAGAGCATGTGCAGGACACAACCAGTCGATGTGTCACTCTTACATCAATGTTTCTGTCTGTCTTTCCCCCTCCCTTCGATTCTCTCTAAAAATCAGTAGAAAGTGTCACCCTAGCCAGTTTGGCTCCGTGGATAGAGCATCAGCCCTGGACCGAAGAGTTCCAGGTTCGAATCTGGTCAAGGGCACATACCTCCCCTGGTCAGAGCATGTGCAGGACACAACCAGTCGATGTGTCACTCTTACATCAATGTTTCTGTCTGTCTTTCCCCCTCCCTTCGATTCTCTCTAAAAATCAGTAGAAAAATATCCTCAGGTGAGGATTAACCAAAATAAATAAATAAATACATAAATAAAATTACTTGTCAACTGAGCACTTTTAATCTTCTGATATAAGCTACATTAAGCCAGTTAAATGAATGATTTATTATCCAACTCTGTTTTCCTAAATAAGTACATAAACAAAATTACTTGTCAACTGAGCACTTTTAATTTTCTGATATAAGCTACATTAAGCCAGTTAAATGATTTATTATCCAACTCTGTTTTCCTAAATAAGTAAAACAGATCGGTAGATATCACCTTTCCAAGTTATCCACTATGACCATCAGATTCAATGATGCTCTTTTCTAACTAACCCAGTCAGTCTCAGAGCCTTTACAATACTACCTCTTAGCAGCCACGACCAATGGATCAGAGTTGTCATGAGGGAAAACCTACATGTCATCTCTGATAAATAATAAATGCTCATTTTAGGAAATGTGGAAATTGAAGACAACTTTGAACGTCAGCCATAATTCCACCACAAGACATAATCACTATGAAGATAACATAACTTGAGTGTGTGTTTGTGGAGTAAGAGAAGTCCACAAGAAAAATTCTCTACAGACATTTACATATTTTAAAAAACCAGGCTCATACTCTCATGAGCATTCTCCGTTTACCACACCCTCACCAAATCTGGGTAACTACGTAAATATAATTATAATTAACCAAAACATGTGCCTAAAATGTTTGTATGTGCCTAATTTCTGAGGTATAAAAGTTTAATTTTGAAAATATATCAAAACCCTTAAACTAGCAAACTTTATTCAATAAACAAATATACACAGGTAATTGCTATGTTCATGTATAAAATACAAGAAAGATATAGCAAATATTACTGACTTAAAAGTCTCATAGATGAAAAGATGACAATGAACATAAACCCTTACCTCTCTTTCCTGCAAAGGCCATGGGTAGCAATTTTTCTACAAACTTTCCGGTTTAATTCAGAACTAAACAGTGGAATTCCAAAGCATAGCTCGAGAGGAACCCAATCTGCTTCTGTTGTGGCAACTATAAAAGGACATGTAAACTTATTAGTCATGCATAAATTTATATATTATAACTGACCAGGGTTTCTTAATTGAGGTCCATGGATTTTCATAGATTCCTCTCACACACCAATCGGCTGAGCAGGAGAGAGAACTAGGGGGAGAGGGAAGGAGTGTCAGTGAATCTCTGAAATAGAAAAGAATGTTTTTTGAGGATGTATGTACATGCTTCTGAGGAGAAGGTACTAGTTTTCATCAGTTCAAAGTGGTCTTTTATCCAATTGCAAGATATCTACAAGATGAGAGAATTAACTGAAATATTTAACAAAGGAAATACGAAACTTAAGTCACTATTTCAGGTCATCTTACCTAATAGACAAGTATGTAAATTAACCATCCCTCCGCTACGCTCACCAGCCAATCAGGAGAGTATGCAAATTAACCCAACAAAGATGGCAGTTAATTTGAATACGTAGGGGCGAAGCAGCAGAGCAAAGACTGAAGGCTCCGTCCGAAGCCGTGAAGACTGAAGGCTCCGGCCAGAGCGAAGGCCTGGGTCCAGGGTGCCGGAGGAAAACCGGTGCCCGCAGCCAGGAGAAGGGAAGGCCTATTGCACGAATCTCTTCATGCAATGGGCCTCTAGTATTTTAATAGTATTTTAATAATATTTGACTATTCTAAATATACAAAAATGTTTGCTAGAAAATTCTTATTACAAGGTCCTTTATGGACAAATGACATCCAGATGACTTAACAAAAAAGTTAAGCCCTGGCTGGTATGGCTCAGTGGATAGAGTGTGGACTGGAGGGTCCCAGGTTTGATTTCAGTTAAGGGCACATATCCGAGTTTCAGGCTCGATCCCCAGAAGGGGGCAGGCAGGAGGCAGCCGATCAATGATTCTCTCTCATCATTGATGTTTCTATCACTTTCCCCCTCCCTTCCTCTCTGAAATCAATAAAGATATATTTTTTAAAAAGACTGCAAATAATTTTTAAAACCTTACCAGAGTTTTGCTTAGTTGCTAAATCTGTAGTTGCCTCCTCAATGACCATTTCAAACGACTCTGTACTTCCATTTACATCTGAGCCAGAAGCCAAATCAGGTTCACCTTGTAATTTAAGGACAAACACAAATATTAAGATTCTAATAGTTGGTATAAGTTGTCAATAAATCAGTTCTAACATAAAAGTGGATTCAGGCAACAGAAATGGCAATGGAAAACAATGAATAGTCCTTAACCTTAAAACAGTAGTTCTCAACTGGGGGATAATTTTGTCCCCCAAGGGACACTAGGCAATGTTTGGAGACAGGTTTTGTTGTCATGAATGGGAACAGGGATGCCACTGATATTTAAGGATGCCAACCATACTACAATGCACAGAGCAGCCCCACAACAAAGCTCAGAACGTAAATAGTGCTAAGGTTGTAAAAACAAGGATTCAAATGGCAGAAGAGAAGTTTAGACTATCAGTAAGCTCACTACTAAAGTCATTTCTACCCCATGGAAATATGCAGTCTGATTACACCGTTCCTCTTCAAAAGTCTTTTTGACTTCCCTATCTTTCAGCACAGAAGATGCTCCTAGAGCTCACCTACTTCGCTACTGCACCTACTTCTCTACTCTAATCTATTTCTGCCCAATAGATCCTTTCTTTTGGCTGCCACAAGCTACTCTATTCCCTGATTCCCTCTGCCTGAAAGGCTGCTACCTTCCACATAAACAACAATTATCTTTTGTGTAGATAACTCCTCATTATTCAAAATTCAGTCCAAACTTTCCTTTCCATAAGAGGCCTTCTCTGATAGCTCAGCCGTCTCTACTCTCATCTACTTCTGCCCAATAGATCCTTTCTTTTGGCTGCCACAAGCTACTCTATTCCCTGATTCCCTCTGCCTGAAAGGCTGCTACCTTCCACATAAACAACAATTATCTTTTGTGTAGATAACTCCTCATTATTCAAAATTCAGTCCAAACTTTCCTTTCCATAAGAGGCCTTCTCTGATAGCTCAGCCGTCCTATTTCAGCACTGCAAGCTAAGGCAGAGCCCTATCCCAGTGTCTTAACACAGCACAGCAGCCTGGTTCACTTGCTTGTCTCCCTTTCTAGGGTATAATTCCTCAGGTCTTACAAATTTAAATGTCTTCAGCATCTAAGCAGACAGTCCGTAAATGTTTGTGGAATGAATGAAATAAAACACAGCAGCAGTAGCAGACATGCTTTGAAATGACTGCTTAACTCCATAGCCTTCTTCTCTGGAAAATGCTCCTGTGATACTTGGCAGTTAACTGTTGAAAACTGCCTATTACACAGCAATAATAAATATAAAAAACCTGCTATGTCAAAAATCAAAAGTTACCCAAATCCTCTGGCCAAAGGTAAATTGACCACAAATAGATACCTAACTCAAAGGGAGCCAATCCAAGACACTCGATGGCTTAGCAATAATTATTTTCTCAGGATTTCAAAGTAAGAGGCTCAAGGAGTAGTCAATTGACGATAGACAATTGAACTGAAATGTTTCCTGGAGTCATAGACCAGAGCTGGCACCATGGCAACCACAGGCACATTACAAGCCAGAATTAGGACAGAGCAGAAACAATTAGTAAGCATGAAAAGGTAATTGGAAAATAAAATTTTAAATTAAAAAGAAAGAAAAAGAGGCCCTAGCTGGTTTCGCTCAGTGGATACAGCGTTGGCCTGCGGTCCAAAGGGTCTCGGGTTCAATTCTGGTCAAGGGCATGTATCTCGGGTGCAGGCTCCTCCCCGGACCGAGCCCAGGTCGGGGCTCATGCAGGAGGCAACCCATCGATGTATTCTCTCACATCGATATTTCTCTCTGTTTTTCCTTCTCTCTTCCACTCTCTCTACAAATCAGAAGAAAAATATCCTTGGGTGAGGATTAAAAAGAAAAAGAAGAAAGAAAGAAAAAGATATCGAAGGAAAACTAGCCATCATCAATATGCAGGATAGACTGGAGATAGAAAGAAAGAGAATGAGGCCAGGAAAGCTAAGCAGACAATGATTGCTTCAAGGACCAGGACTCAGACTAGAACGGCAGTTACAGAGAATAAAAAGAGAAGGGAAGAAACAGATATGAGAGACTTTTCCAACCATTAATTCACAGAACTTGGAAACAACTGGACAGTGCAGAAAAGGAGAAGGATGACGGCGATAGGACTCTGGCCTGGGTAACAGACAACAGTGCCTTCACAGAAAGAGAAAGGTCAAAAGGGAAGAACTGGAGACATCGTTACAAAGAGACTAGAACTTTGAAACCATCACCCCATAAAGGAAGTTAATTTAAAGCCTATAAACATATGACAGGAAAGGGCTAAAACCTGATAACCTTTCTGTATCCCAACCCCACCCAGGTCATCACTTCTGTAGTTATGCACTTAATATTTTCTCCATTTAAACAACTGATACTTGTCCAAATGATGTCACAGAATATTTTCTCATACATCAGTTAAAAAGCATTAAGTGTTAAATAATTCAACATCCCTACAAAAGTCTCGATATGACAGTAAAGGGCTAAAACCTGATAACCTTTCTGTATCCCAACCCCACCCAGGTCATCACTTCTGTAGTTATGCACTTAATATTTTCTCCATTTAAACAACTGATACTTGTCCAAATGATGTCACAGAATATTTTCTCATACATCAGTTAAAAAGCATTAAGTGTTAAATAATTCAACATCCCTACAAAAGTCTCCATGCTTTTGACACAGAACCGAGGGAGAAACCAAGATGGCGGCATAGGTTAACGCTGGAGTTTGCTGCCTCGAACAACCACTTCAAAAATACAACTAAAAGACGGAACGGACATCATCCAGAACCACAGGAAGGCTGGCTGAGTGGAAGTTCTACAACTAGGAGGAAAGAGAAAAGCATACCGAGACTCAGAGGAGGCGCAGTGCTGAAGTATCAGTTAAAAAGCATTAAGTGTTAAATAATTCAACATCCCTACAAAAGTCTCCATGCTTTTTAAATAATTAGGTTGTAATTAACTCAATATCAAATGATCTTTAATTCAAAACCCAACTATTGGCTCACCTCTCTCATCAGAAGCATCACTGAGTTTTCTGCTTGCAAGTTGGCTCGAAGCATTCAACATGGTGATATAGCCACAAAAATGCTGCAAGTCCACCTTAGTCCTTAATATTTCCAATGCTTTATGAACACCCATATTGACACGAGTAAACTCTAAGAACAAAGAGTTGACATCAAATTATAAGTGAATAGTTTTGTAAAATAATACAGCATGAAAAACTTAAAAATATTTTTATTAAACAATTCTTAGAATTACTTTTATACTTTAATCTATCAAGATTGATTCCAATGAAGAAATATCTGTGAACATAAAAAGATATTATATACATATAACATGTTTATAGCCTTCAGGAGGTATTTGGTATAGCAGAAGCAAATAGTCAGTGGTAAATTCTCTAGGCGTCTATTTGTGCTTCTATTCTGCCTCAAATACTTGGTGGGCTTCTACCAGGAAATTTATTAAATATACATATTTTTGAAATTAAAGCTAATATACTTGAAATTATGTCCTAATGAATTATTTAAGTTTTAACTCAAGTTCTTACCTGTGAACTTACAAAAGAGAAAGATGCTCTATATCCAAATATGGAGATTTCTTTTTTATAATTCACAATAATCTCCCAAGGCAAGAGAACTACCAATTAGTTCTTGAGATTTTCTACATTTTAATGTCCTGTGGTCACTACCGTGTATCCTCAGGTGAACATTTCCCCCCACAGAATTTATAAAGTACCAGAGGATTAAGTAGGACAGTTTAGTTGCAGACAAGTACTTATTTCTGAAAAAATGGCTATTTTGAGTCCTCTCTTCCCCACATTTTGTACACACTTACAACAGCCAAAACAGAGCACTTAATTTCAAACATGAGGCTCCCCCAGTCTGGCCATGCGAAAAGGAGACGATATCTATAAAAATCCTCTGCCTTTCCTTGCTTTAGGGGGCAGGGGCAGTGGTGAGCAACATTTTGAAAGAACAGTAAGTTCTTATATGGGATAACTTAGGTTAAATTACTTGAACCATTCACTGTTCTCTTACTCTCTAAGCAATAAGACTCTAAAAATCAGAAAAATAGATTACAGAACAGCAGTTTTACATGGAGCAGGAAACTTAAGTGCTATGTAAATATATGCAAAGTTTTAATCAGATAGTATTTTTCTTCTGAATGTACATATTTTCTTAATATTCAACAGAGAAAAGGTATCTTCTCTATTAGACAAAAGGAAGAATGAACTGGCTGTTACAGAACTTCTCTGCATCTTTATCAACTATGAGACTGCACAGCCAAATCCAGGAGCCAACATTAACCAGGGCTTTCCCCTTGGTGCTAACCAGCTAATTTAGCTCAAACTGCAATCCACTCAAATCCTCTCATCAGCAAAAATGAAATTTAACAGCAAAAAAAATTTATTATAATAAAAATGCTGAGACAAGAAATACATGCAAGTGCTCTGTAAACTGTGAAGTAGGCGACAAACGTTTATCAGGACCCATTTCTACAATAACTAAAAAAGCCCCTAAAAGAAAACCAGTGTGTAACATTGGGGGTGACCAACTTTCTAAATATCTTTCTAAGCATAAAATATTCCCTATGACTTGCTTCAAATAATAAGCAATAAAAAGAAACTGAAAGACTAAACATACAGAAAACCTAGTCTTTCATCTGGGCAGACGCCTATGTATTCTCTTCATCTCCAAGACAGACTCGTATTCCTCCAAAGGTCCTAAGTTGGTCTTACACTATCGATTCTTTGTGGGAAAAGGCATATAACAGAAAACTACCTTTGCCAATACTCTTTAAAAACAAAATGGCAACACCCTAGAACTTCAAAATTTTAAGCATTCACTTCCTGCTATGTTTTCCACCAAATTGGTGACAAAGATTAGTGATAAAGAAATGAAATGGATACAAATCAGAAGTGAGGTACCTCCTTGTAGTTCTGTCTCATCAAATGGAAATGGTATGTGGACAGTTTCTCCTGTCCCGTGGAAGCCATGTCCCTAAACGTGAAGACACACAAGTTGAAAGGTGTATGAGAAAACGACATTTCCAACAATAGATACTAAAGCACCAAATAAGACTGTGCCACGTGGTGGTATATTCCACATTAATACTCCATCGAAGTGCTTTAAACAATTTTCTATTTTTCTACAGCAAGCAAAGACAATCTAAAGCAGGGGTCCTCAAACTTTTTAAACAGGGGGCCAGTTCACTGTCCCTCAGACCATTGGAGGGCTGGACTACAGTTTAAAAAAAAACTATGAACAAATTCCTATGCACACTGCACATATCTTATTTTGAAGTAAAAAAACAAAACGGGAACAAATACAATATTTGTATTTGCATGTGGCCCGCGGGCCGTAGTTTGAGGACCCCTGATCTAAAGTATATATGAATCCATAAGGTAATGTGTCTCAAATTGAGTGCATGGGCTAAATTTTAAAAAGGAGGCTAATTTAACAGGTAACTCAGGTGTCAGCCAAGTGGAGACTGAATGAGATCAAGTGTTGGTCCCTAAAGACCACATATTATATAATTTCATGTATATGAAATGCCAGGAATAGGCTCTAGAGCAGCCATTCTCAACCTGTGGGTCGCGACCCCTTCGGGGGTCAAACGACCCTTTCACAGGGGTCGCCTAAGACCATCGGAAAACACATATATAATTACATATTGTTTACAGTAGCAAAATTACAGTTATGAAGTAGCAACAAAAATAATTTTATGGTTGGGGGTCACCACAACATGAGGAACTGTATTAAAGGGTCGCGGCATTAGGAAGGTTGAGAACCGCTGTTCTAGAGAGAGGAAGTAGATTAGTAGTGTTTAGGGTGTGGGGGCTGGGAGAATAGGGGAGTGAGAACTAAAGGTGCAGATTTTTTGAGACGAGATGATGAAAATGTTCTAAAACAATATGGTGGCCTTGGCTGGTGTGGCTCAGTGAGTTGAGTGTTGTCCCATGAACAGAGAGGTCGCCCATTCAATTTCTGGTCAGGGCACATGCCAGGGTTTCGGGCTTGATCCCCAGTAGGGGGTGTGCAGGGGCAGCTGATCAATGTTTCTCTCTCCCTCTCCCTTCCTCTCTCTCTAAAAATCAATGAAAATTATTAATAAAATAAAATTGAGTATGGTGATGGCTGCAGATATGTGTGACTACAGTAGTCTGCCTTATCCATGGGGGATACATTCCAAGACCACTAGTGGATACCTGAAACCAAGGATGGTATTGAACTCTACATACATTATGTTTTTTTTCCTATTTATACATACATACCTACGATAAGAGTTTAATTTATAAATTAGTAAGAGACTAACAATAATAACTAGCAATAAAATAGATTACAACAATATATTGTAATAAAAGTTACGTGAATGTTCTCTCTCCCCCCCTCTCTCTGATAACCAAGTCAGCTACTAAGTGGCTGTAGGCAGGGAGCATACACAAGTGTAGATATGCTGGACAAAGGGATGATGCACTCCCCATGAGGGATGGAGCAGGACCACTCGAGATTTCATCACACTACTCAGAATGGCATGCAATTTAAATCTATGAATTATTTTATTTCTGGAATTTCCCAT